ACCGCAGGTACTTGGAAAACATGAAAAAAGAGAACGAGGGAGGGGATCATGATGATGGAATGATTGAATTTGAAGAGATGAACAGCAACAAAGAGAAGGATGAAGTGGTCAGTGATCAAAAACAGAAGGGCAGGAACAGCAGGAAAGCTCTGAAGAAAATTCTTTTACAGGCATTGAAAGACAAAAAGAAAACTGAAAAACAGAAACAGAAAGTTTCTTATCATCAAGATAAGCTTCCAAAGTGTTTGGGAAAGGGAGATCAATATGGAAAGGAAAACAAGGAAGATAATATTCTCCCGTTCGAGGAATTTGTAAAGAAAAGGTTCAAAATCCTTAGTGAAAAGCTGGACATTTTAATTGTAGGTTTATATACGCATTTGCCAACGTCTGTCATTTCATTAGAAGTTGTGAAGAACATGATAAAAGCTCTTGATTCACTCAGCCGCCTGAAAACCTTGTTGAATGGTGATAACATTGGAGATGAAGGTTTAAAGCTAGTCATCAATGATTTCGAAGATGAAGATAGCAATGCTTGTCAATTTTCATGGTTGGCCACTAAAAGAAAGGATTGCATTCAGATACTGAATTCACTTCCTCGAGCATTTGACGTGCCCAATATTTTTGAAAGTTATCAAGTGAGAAACTTTTGCTTGGAAAATGCATGTCTGGTATTCTGTACCGCTTCAAGCTCTGCCAAGTTGCACACAGAAGGAATGAAACCGATAAAATTGTTGGTTGTTGATGAAGCTGCGCTGCTTAAAGAATGTGAATCGACCATTCCATTACAGCTTTCTGGTCTTCGCCATGCCATTCTTATAGGTGACAATCGCCAACTTCCTGCCATAGTTCAAAGCGAGGTGATGAGGTTAATCTTTTTTGCATTCCATTTACTGAGTAATTTATAAGATTTAAGTTCTAATGTTTTTGTCACATAACTTGATCAGATTTCCAAGGAAGCTGAATTCGGAAGGAGTTTGTTCGAGAGATTGGTCATACTGGGACACGAGAAACAACTACTGAATATGCAGTACAGGATGCATCCATCTATAAGCTTATTCCCAAATAAAGAGTTCTATGGTGGGCTAATTCAGAATGCTTCAACTGTCAAAGAAAGAAACTATCAGAAACGATTCCTTCAAGGCAATATGTACGGGCCTTACTCATTTATTAATTTACCCAACGGGGAAGAGCAATTCAATGACGGTGGAAGCAAGAAAAATTTGGTCGAGGTTGCTGTAGTTTCAGAGCTAGTTGCAAGGCTTTTTAAAGGTATTCCTTTAAGAAATGCTGTTGGGGAAATCGAATAGATGACATAGCTATTGGTTTGAATTACTTTTTTGTTGGCAAATGGGAAAGCTAAAGCTTTCCTTTTCTTTCCATTGCAGGGTTTACTAAGGCAAGAAAGGGGATGAGCGTAGGAATCATATCACCGTACAAGGCTCAAGTTTATGCAATTCAAGAAAAGATTGGAAAGACTTACAGTGCACATAGTGATTTTGCCGTAAATATTCGGTCCGTCGATGGATTTCAAGGAGGCGAGGAAGATGTTATAATTATCTCTACTGTCAGATGTAATGCATACGGAAAAATAGGTTTCCTTTCCAATCGCCAAAGGGTTAATGTGGCATTGACCCGTGCAAGGTATCACCTCAAATACCAGATAGGATTGCAAGTTTTTTGCAAGTTAATGTGCGTGCATGCATTTACGTATTGGTGATTTTCAATAACAATTTATGATGTACTGTCTAATGAAGGCACTGCCTCTGGATATTGGGAAATGGAGCAACTCTTGTCAACAGCGATTCTATTTGGAAGAAATTAGTTACTGATGCCAAGGAACGGGGGTGTTTCTATAATGCCGAGGAGGATAAAAGCTTGTCCAAGGCTATTACGGATGCCTTATTAGAATCGGACCAACTTGATGCTCTGCTGAATGTGAATTCTCCACTGTTCAGAAATGCAAGATGGAAGGTATGTGTGCTCATTTTTCTTGTTTCTCGATTGTTTTGTTAGTTCTCATTGTCATGTCTCAAGCTGAATGCTACTCGGTGGACTTATCACCTCAATCCTTTTTCCCATTAAAGTTTTGTTTCAGTAACGATTTTCGGAAATCCATTCTGAATGTGAGAAATGAGGCTCGTCAGGAAGTGATTTCTTTGTTGGCAAAGCTTTCGAGTGGCTGGCGGGAATCTCCTGAAGGGAGAAACATCGTTGTCCGGCATGGAACTTCTTCTGAACTGTTAGAACAATACAGAGTCAATGATCCACTTAAACTGATTTGGACAGTGGATGTAATAAGGAAAACTCAAACCACACACAAATTCTCAAGGTGTGGGATGTTTTACCATTACCTGATTTACCAAAACTGGCAAGGCATCTCGATGATGTCTTTGGGAATTATACAGTTGATAAGATGAATCGCTGCAAGCACAAATGTAAAGAAGGGTAAGCATTTTTCTATTTTCATTCTTCTAGATTCTGGTATTATGCATCAACGGTTGCTTGAGTTGCCTTGATCAGCAGTAGGAATCCAATGACGAACCTCAGATTTTTTCTGTTTTATCCAACAAGGGCAGGTCTCAACCCTGACCTGGGACCTCTCCCCTCCTTTCTTTGCAAGAAAGAATACCATTAGGCTAAACACCCATTGCTTTGGGTAATGATACTTGAATGAGAAGGGGTATTCTCTACTATACTTGATCTCCTGGCCTGAAGCAAATAAAAATCAATTATCATTGCATTGTCTTTTTTGAATTGCAGGAATTTGGTTGTTCCAATGAGATGGCCACTGGGTTTCGGTGGTGCTGCCGAGAGTAGTAACCCTGAATCTGATCCTGCAGAGCTTCTGTCACAACCCTTGG